ATAATAATAATAACAATGTAAATTATTATAAGCCATGTAGTAATTTTCGTCGCACGTAACAATACACAGCACATAACGTATAGTTGTATTAATTTTTAATTATTGTTCTGTGGTAATCTTAAAATTCCAGTCAAAAATATTAAGTAGGTACCTACTTACACGCAGAAGTACAGCATCCGCGTAATAATTTAATAATTCGATTTTGTCAGCCAGGCAAATTGCAACCATTTAATAATTAAACCTCATTATATATATAACATAATTGATTTTACGATTATGGTGTTAATTATAATACCATTATAATATAGTATTAACTAATATGAGTGCACTTATGATTTATTGTCACCACGTGGCAATRCCTATACGTCAACGGTGCGTTTTTATCTGTATTAAATATTAATAATATTGTCATATTATGAGTTTTTCTCAATAAGGCCATGCTAGTACATCTTTGTAAGGAAATTAAATAAATAAATATTCTTTTTATCATGATATTATGTGGTATGTCCAGTTTATAATCCATATTTTTGGTTATATTTACTCGAGGAAATCAAAATATAATCGTGCCGTACACGCACGCACGTTACATGTTTATAGCTGTAATATTATTATAGCGAGGTCGTTGTTTTTGTACAACTATAGTAATAACATTATTTACTGATTTATGTGTATCCATATGGTACGTCATATTGAATATTGGTGTGTTACATCACAGATGTATGCACTTGTGCATCACACTTATATTGTATTGGATTTATATAACGTACAATGTAGGTAGGTATTCGCGATGTATTGTTATTTTTCTCCACGATCTACAATAAAGCGGCTTAGCTGTCATGYCGTAAATGAAATAGTCACCCGCGAAGGACGATAAAGTTTAATATTGAATTCAAAGCCATTGTATTTATACTTTATAGTGTGTGTCTACGTGTTTGAAACTTGGCGGTTGTATCCGCGTCCAAATCATTTAGCTTTCAATGTCTCTATACTTATATCAGATAATATGTGTAATGTTTATACAACCTTTCTTCAAGGAGGTTAACGTTTTATGCTCGAGTTATTTATCGTTCACCGATAAGCGATAACACGCAGTATACACGTCAAAGAGCTACACGGCCGAGTCGAGTAAATTATATTGATATGGAAAATAAAGATTTTTACTAAGAAAAATATATTAATACTGCGATTATGTAGTGTAGCATTATTTTTTATTTTTGCAAGTAAAATCCCCAGCTTTGAAAATAAATAAGTTTGTGATAAGTATTTTTGAAATAGCTATAAGTACCACGACAGGAGAATTTAGAAGAAGTTAATATCTAGAAATGAATAATCATAATTCAATAATTGAAAGTCTGTTAAGGATATCGACATTAATAATATGTTAGAATAATAAGTTACACAAGTTATATTATGATGGGTCAAGTATTCAAAATCGCTGACAAGCAATATAGATGCATCTAAATTGCCTACACGGAGTGCCGTCTGTAAATAATTTATTGCAATATTGTACTTAATTTTAGTATTTTAGTAATATGATAAATAATACAATTCAATCAAAAAGAAAAAAAATAACAAATTCAAACCATTTAAATTCTAAATTACTTATAAAAAACTATATATCATATAAAAGTGACGTGAACTTAATTTTTAATTCATGTTAATATATCACCTAAAAGTGTGATACCGCTATTATTTGTTTTTATATTATGATAGGTACTATATTATTTTCTAACATAATATACAATTTTACAAAGGTAACCAAAATGTTKAATTGTACTGCAGGTATATAATAATAACAATAATTAACATATTATTTAGTTCTTATAATAATAATCAAATTTATACTAATAATTATGTACGTGTGATGATGTGTGTAACAACGTGTGTATTATTATCAGAAAATGTATAACATTTAGGAAAAAGAGTAATATTAAATCCAGTGTTTTTTAGTTATTTTATTAAAAAATATTAACGAAAYTCGTATTTAATAAATTACGTTTCTGTGAAACATTATTATTATTATTAAATATATAAGCGTAAATTCGGTCAATATTTCAATCGAACCAAATATCAAAATAATATACGCGCATCTCAATATATAWAGACTGGGAAGGGGGTGGTGAATAATAATAACGATAATATTATAACAACCCTATAAATTGATGAGGTACCTAATTTTTTAAGACGATTATTATTTTTAAATGCGTTCTCATCATTTACGCCACACAAACGTGCACATTATTGTGTGTGGAATTCTATTCATCGTAAAACCGATGAAAATGATGATACGACCTGTGAAATTTTTCAGTATCATCGAGGGTGTGTGTGAGTCTTCTAACAGATCCGCGATTATGCGAATCATTTTTCTAAAATAATGAATGGTGATAAATTACAATATTTTATCATCGACTACTCGTTGTTTATATATTATACTTACACACTTTTGACATACAAGATGGAATATATGAAAATAATATCACGTTCGAAYGGTATATCAAACGTAGAAATTACGTTATACACTCTACAATCACTGAAGTTATTACTTTTTCCCGATTTCGATTTTTATAAAGAGTTACAAATATATTCAAAAGTCGACAGAATTAAAGCAAACGAAGGTTAGGTCTAATAATCATTTATCGATTAGGTATCATTATATTAATTACACATATAGGCGTATAGTAAAGGATAAAGAAAATGGGGTTCGCCAACCTTCAGTTAAACAATCAACATATGCGTTGTAATTAAATAAATAATAACATTTCCTGCTATAATGTCTAAKAATACCTAGTTTGGTAGATCAGTGGAGAAAATAAATTCCCTCGAAAAGTCTTTATGCGTGCAAAAAAAAACAGTGTATCATCCTCTTAATTCTCAATCAGTAACTTTTTTCTGATTTAATATTTTATATTCTGAGTGGAGCGATAAATGTATTGATTTTACAATAATGTATGTTTTTTTTTTGTGTGTGTGAACACAATATATACTATATCAATCGTCATTATATTTACGATTTTTTCTGTCAGACATTTTTAAATAAAAATTTTACGATCGCTATTACCTATAAGCACTTAGAAGAGCAGACTGATCGTTGTATGTATCTACAATGTATAGGTACCTCAATCCATAATCTTTTCAATAATCAATAAAAGATTAGATATACGCTATATGTATTGTACACATATGTATAACAAAATTATATTATTAGATTAAGATTGGGATTATTCGTACTTTTATATTTAGTGGCACGCCGAACAAAAAWGGTTAGGCATCACTGATATATAGTCCAAATTATGCTTCAATATTCAACTTCAGTAGCTTTTTTGATGGGAAAGTGAATTTAGTTATTGCACTGGGGAGGTCGAATTTGGAATTCCTAATTTTTTCAAAAGCACCGATAAATGCAAAGAAAAAATAATAAGAAAAACTGGAACTATTAACGCAAAATCGGTTTTTGATAAAATTGATTTTGGATATTAGTGTAACTTKAAAACAGACGACCATAGATGCACGACATTTTCACTGAATGATTATATTGGCATTTTCTATACTTTATAAAATTTTTAAAACATTTCAAAAATATTTAAGTTATTTATAAACATGTGACATTTTCAATATTTTTAGTTTTTTGTTCTATTATCATCAATAGAATTTTATCGTTGGGTAAAAAAATGTATACATTTTTATACAAGGTTCCCCATAAGTGAATATAATAGCAATTAAAAAATATTAAAATATATATGGACGTTTTTTTTTTTGTAACCGTTTAAAATTCAAATTTCGACAAAATTTATTAAATTTAAAATTTAAAAATTATTTATTGTTAAAATGCATAAAAACTTTAACTTTTTTTATCTAAGGTTTTAAAATGTAAAACAAAATTCAACTTTAGCAGTTAACTCTCTAACAAAACAAATCTAAAAACTATACAATCACAGTTTTTATTTTTATATACCTTTTAAGTTCAAATTTGGACGAAGTTACATAGGTAGTAAATGA